TATATATATAGGGGAGGGAGGTTTGCGCATATAGCGAGACAAGGTGGGAACATTATTGTGCGCGTGTGGCGAGACAAAGCGGGCACTCACTTTATTATTGCACACGTGGTGAGACAAGGTGGGCTATGTCGGGGATTGAATTGTGATGACTTGTGATGGCCTGGGGGCATTGCTGTTGTTGCATATTTACTTTTGAGACTACGAGACGATATCTCGGGAGTGCCTTTGCTGACATTCTCTGTGGTTGCATTTGTCTTCGGTTATTTTTGTATTTTCGTGTAGGTAAATTGTTGTGTTCTTCTGTGATGTAATATTTGATTCTATTATGTGTTTGTATCCCTTGTTGTAATGTGTTGGCTTTGGCTCTTGTACGAGACTCTGAGGATTTGTGGTTCTAGGCTTTACTAGTTTTCAAGGTTAAGTTATTTTGAATAAAAGAAATTGTTGTGTGCTTTAGTTCTTATAAGTTTTACATCCAAATCAGCAACTATCGGGTGCTTCATTTTAATTGAAATGTTATTTTCTTCACCCAAATGACTTCTAAAATAAATTTATTTCTTTGTTGATTTTCTTACTTGATTTAAAAATTTTAAACTTACTTTATCGAAAATAAATTGATCATGTGGATCTTATATACATTGAGGATATTGGCATGTGAATTGTCCGTGAAATTGTGATATGAAATGAGAGCACGAGATGCCGAGAAAATATGATGATTTAATTATGGGCACGAAGTGCCGTGGAGATATGAAAATGGACTGAGACCCGTATTTTTATGATTATGAAATGAGGTGTCACATGGTGACTTTTTAATTGAAGAATTATATTCAAAATATTTATTTGGAAAGATATTTATTTGAGGAAAATTATATTTGAAGGAGAGTTATTTGGTAGAATTATATGTGAAGGACATTTATTTGAAGAATTTGATTTAATTTGGTGTACTTGTATTTATTATTTATTGAGCGAAATTAAATGGTGTTTTGATGTCTTGCTATGCATATCACTGGTTGTTTTATGATGTCCTTATTGTTATCTGTTTCCTACTATCTTGTATATTATATTGCACGGGCTATTAGACTAGTGAGTGTCTTGACTGTACCTCGTCTCTACTCCACTGAGGTTAGTCTTGATACTTACTGGGTACCGACCGTGGTGTACTCATACTACACTTCTGCACATTTTTGTGCAGAGCCAGGTATTGGAGATATCGGACTTGAGCAGAGTTAAAGCGGGACCGTAAGGATTCAAGGTAGAGCTGCTTGTTCGTCGCAGTCCCTTGGAGTCTTTTCATTTCATTGTACTATTAATTTTAAATCAAACAGTATTGTATATTCGGTTCTCGTGATCATCCCAAAATTAATTGACTCGAAGTAGTTAAAAAAAATAACAACTTATGCCAACTTATGATTTGGATGGAAGAAACTAATCCTACAAAGATCTATTGTGTTATGTTGCATATATCTTGTGTTACTTTTTTAGTCATCTCTGGTGAAAAAAGTCATATAACTAAATTATTGTTTGTAATTAGAAAATCAAATCTACGTGACAATTATAGAACATGTTTGGCTTAGCTAATTGAAAGTACGAAAAAGGACCATAAATGCCCCCCTAAGGTATTGAAAATAGTTAATTTTGTTCCCCTTCCACCTATTGGACCATAAATGTCCTAAATGTTACTTTTCGTCTTAAAATGCCCTTTACACTAACTGCTGACTTGATGACCATGTGAGGTTTTGTAAAAATAGATATGGCACTATTTTATTGGTTCATATTTAAAGATAATTTTTCTTAGACCCATATCTGTCCTAAATATTTAACCCGCCCTATAAGACATTTATCTTCTTCTCAGCTGCTCCAATCTCCAACTATTTCTCCTCCAAATCAACAAATCGTATGTATCTCTTTGTTTTTCTCCCAACTCTTTCTCATTAAACCCATCAATCTCTTTTACCACAATCAACATTTCTAGAACAAGTTCTTTTATTCATTTGCTTAGTTCTTCTCCAGAACCCCAGAAGTACTTAGTATATTAGACATGGCTAATTTCTAGTTATAGAGTTTTTCCGGTTCTTTTTATAAAGTGAAAAATTGAGTGTATATAAAGATAAATTCTATTTTCCTTTTCTCGTCTAAAATGACAAAAACTTCATGTGATGAAAATTACAAATTATGACGACATGGAGACAGATTTGGGGAAACAACCCTGCTACTTGTAATCATAAAAATTGAACAAGAGGAAACTGAAACGAATAAATTTATGCAAACCTTTTTATTCCTGTGGCAAAACTCTAGCTCTTGAATCCAATATCAATGATCTCAATTAGCTAGCATATAAGTAAGTGGCAAGAATGAAGAAATTGGAAGATATCAATCGTTCTTCTTCTTCAACGAACAAGTATTCAAGAATGACTTGCAACAACAAAAACTGGAGCATCGGTAAATATCAAAAAGTATTATAGCCATATGGCTCTTCTTAATTTTCATTCGTGTTCCACATGAATATGACATACTATAACACTAGTCTTTTCATTTGCTTTCAGCTTTAGATCGAGCTAAACCTTATTAGATCGAGAAATTGCAAATTCCAGTTCCTGGTTTGAGCTTGAGCTCGACATTTTTGTCAAGGTATAATTTCCTCACCTTTCACGAATACAAATACAAGTTAACTCTGAAAAATTAGGAAGGCTTGTAGAGAACAAATTATTAGTTCTAAAATTCATAATACCGTACAGCACAAACGATAATTGCAATTAAGAGATTAGAGAACAAATTGGTTCATAAAAAATATCTCAGATCAAACATGCAGTAAATCTCACTGACATCCGATTTAAACGTCTAGAGGAAATTGAAATGTCACATTGCCAAACGATCATTCACTATTATCCAAATTTTGGAGTGCGCACACATTAGGATTAATTATATATTCCTCATTTAAGTCAAAATTGGACTAATATAGGTTAATCATATATTCTCTTTGGCTTCTTTGATAGCTTTACTGATAGTTTCCCCTTCTTAACTCCCAAGTATCTGTCAATCTCCTCGTCAGCAGCATCTCCGCCTCTGTGTTTCCTTTTGCCACCACTTTCTTTGATTTTCTGAATCAAAATAGATTGGATGTTAATTATCTAATAACTCCATTGAGCAATGTATTACCAAGAAAACATGCATCAGCAAAAATCCTACATAAACTACTAACAACCTATATAATAATGTATCAGCATGCAAACATCAGGAAATATGAGCAACTTAAACATTTCATAGAGTAAGTTGTATACAAGGCACCTCTCACAACATTCCACATCCTCTCCAACTGAGAAATGCACATAACAGTCACATGTTCTGAATAACAGCTCTACATCCAAACCACACTAAAAAGGTCAAAAATATGCTCACACTATCTCTACCTTATTACCTCAATGACATCAACACCTGAGCCTAATGAAAATGTTGAAAGAGGAGAATTCAACTATAATATTAAGTGCTAAAAGGGAAACTAATAATAAAAATAAGGGCCCATTTCACTTGATTTAATTGGCTAAATTTAAACCGTCTTTAACCCGTGCAGGCAAAAGTTGACCACCTAGTGATTACAGCCAACTGAAGTACACCCTCCTCTCACAAGGGGGAAAAAAAAAGGAGACGAGAATTACCATCTGTGAGATCCTCTTGGCTTCTGTTACACGCTCCAAGAGTAGCAAAACCTCCTCTTCGTTCGCAGGATACTCAGCTAGTTTTTTCGCTGAATATTATCACTTTTTAGTTAGGAAAACATGTATCAAACAGACTAGAAGTGCTAGAATAAGAATGTATTAGAATCTCGGAAATATAATATTTCTGTATTTTCATACCAATAAGCTTTTCTATCTGTATATACCACTCCACCTCATACTGATTCACTAATGATATAGCAACCCCAGAACGCCCTGCTCGTGCAGTTCTTCCCACCCTATGTATATAATCCTGCAGGCCATGCATACGGTGATAAGCTAAAATCGCATCAGAAAACAAAATTAAGATTATTCAGATTGAAATGATGAGTATGAAGTCAAGTTTCATTGATCTTATTGCATAAACAAAGACCGATATATTCTTTTAATTTTTGTCTGTGGTGTCCGGGCCAGCTTGCTGGCACCTCGACAATTCCACCGGGTACCAACTACCTCTCACACCAACACAGGTACAGGGTAACTCTACCTACCAAGACTTGGAAAGATGGAAAGAAATCACTTAGTGTTCGATTTTTTCAAATTCCAAACAAGCTGAACTACAGAATTTGAACAACTTTTAAAAAGTCTGTTCTGAAAAAAAGAAAACTTGTCTGGATAGCTGCAGTTTTTTGGAAGTTTTGTGGGTGTTATGGGAGTGGAGAAAGTTTTTTTTTTGTTTTTTTAGATCGAGGGAGTGTGGAAGAAGTTTTAGGTATTATTTTTTGAAAGCTAAAAAACAGGCCAACACCTTCGAAAAGTTCTTCGAAAACTTCCTAACCCAAAAAGGTCCATGCCTAGCCATAGATAAATCCAGGACCACCCTAATGAACAGAAAAACAGCTTACAACTATCCAAGCAGTAAGAATAAAAAGATCCACCTTAGAGTTTGTTGGAATATCATAGTTGATAACCATATCAACAGATGGGATATCAATTCCTCGACTGGCTACATCAGTGCAGATAAGGATATTGCACTCTCCAGCCTTAAATTTGTTTAGAGCTCCAAACCTATTTTCCTGTCCAATAAAAGATGATATTTTGAGGGAGGGAGGGGGGAAATAGAACTAGCAAAGTGAAAAGATGCATGCCTTGAAGTTCAAAAATATACCTGAGTCATCTGACCACTAATTGGTATAGCTCTCAAGCCAAGATTTCGAAGCATTAGAGCCAGTAGACGAGTTGCATCACATGTACGAGTGAAAACCATTGATGTACTGCCAGACTTCTCAGACAGAATATAGACAAGATAGCAGTCCTGTGGGTACAAAATAATAAAGTCAGACAACAAATCATTATTCGATAATTAAAGTGGGACCATAAATCATTATTCAGCAAACAAAAGGAGTTACATCCCTAACCCCCTCAACTTGTGGGGACTAATTGACTCTGCTTTTTTAATCTATAAATTTCTTGATAAATAATAGTTAAAGCTTACAATTTGTGTAAAATCAAACAACCAATCAAGTAATTTTTTTAATTAAAAGTGATTATTAAACAAATTACAAAAAAAAAATTGATAAGTACAAGCTCTACAAAAATTTCTTTAACAAAAAGCTCTTTACATGGTACAAACCCTCTCAACTCTCTTTCTTTTGGTTGCTTACCAGAATTTCTTTTGTTGTTTTTTTTTGTTAGTTTTGATTTATAAAATTGTATTTCTATTATAGTTGTTTTTATGGTTTATTAGTTAAATATTACGAAGTTTGATTTAAAATTTTCGGTGCATCCGCTCATCGGATCGGTTAGCCTTAATTTCATGCATGTCCTCCCCACCTCTCCCCCAAGCCTTCCATGCTTTAATATCTGACACCCAACCCCTTTTGTCATCACTCCTCTCGTCTTCCGTGTTTAATCTAACACCTTGCACCCAGGATGATGCTCAACGTCTCTGCTGGTATAATGACAAGACCGAGTCAGCAGTTATGGGAAAACTTCTTAACTTTGATGAAGATAACATCTCTCTTTGGATTCGCAGAAATACTCCCAAGGTATGAAAAATGTTAGGTATCAAATATGTTGTGCCAGAGAAGGATATAGCAGAGATGCTACAGCGAATTGAAAGGAAGAATGCTTACAGGAAGTCTAATTATTGCAATAAGCAATATGGGAAGAAACAGAAATTTGCCCATGAACTTGATAGATTGGTATTCCGGGTGAATTATGATAAGGGTTTTCATGGTGATGAGGGAAGGTTTCAGCCATCTTCTTACGGATGAAGCTCAAGATTGTCTCTTGGAATGTAAGAGGTTTGAATAACACCGATATACGAGATATGGTGAAGGCTCTTCTTTCTGAATGGAAAGCCGACATCGTTTTGTCTTTAAAAAACTAAGCTTGAATTTTGGCCTCACAAGCTGGTTGGTGGTCTTAAATTTGGTAGGTGGGTGGATTATGCTTTTGTGGAAGCGGATCGGACAAAGGGAGGTATAATTATTCTTTGGGACAAAAGGGTTTGGAAGGGGTCTGTAATTTTCCACGGTATTCATTCCATCACCATCAAACTCTCAAATATGCACTCTGATTTTTCATGGTGCATGTCCAGAGTGTATGCACCCATCAATAGGGAGGAGAAAACCAATTATGGTTGGTTCGGCTGTCAGGGGTCTTTGTGAGGGGCCTTGGGTTAATACCACAAGGTTTCCTTGTGAGAGAGAACATTGTTCTAGGTTTGACAGAGCTCGAATTTCATCGAGGACTTGAATTTGATAAATTCCCCCTTTATTTGGAGGAAAGTATACTTGGTCTAAAGATAATTCCTGCAGAGTGGCTTCGAGGATCGACAGATTCTTGTTTTCTGCCGAGTGGGATGATCTATTCGGTGTTATCAAACAATCTACTATTCCTCGTATTGTCTCGAATCATAGCCCATTATTTATTGAGTGCGGGCACTGGTCTAATAATGTCTCTTACTTTAAATTTGAAAATATATGGTTGGAACATCCCGAATTTGGGGAAATGGTCAGTAACTGGTGAAGTTCTTTCAACATTGTTGGCAGCCCGAATTTAATTTTTGCACAGAAACTTAAGTTGTTGAAACTTATGTTAAGTTGTTGAAACTTAAGTTGAAGGAATGGAACTAAGTCCTTTTTTGGACATTTAAAGAATAGGAAATCGTGTATTCTGAATAGGATTCAGGTGCTGAAGAAACACCTCTTGCAGATGATCTACTTCTTTCCAAAGCAAGTTTACAAATGGAGCTTAAGGAGATTTTTAGATTGGAAGAAATCTCATAGAGGCAATAGATGCCTCTGGTTGAAGCAAGGAGACAACAACACTGATTTTTCCCACAAAATGGCTAATTCTCACAGAACGTTCAATCAAATTGACAAGCTGGAAGTTGGGGGTAACACTACTGATAACATGGAAATCATTTCTAATGAGATTCTTAGTTTTTATGAATCCTTATACAGAGATAAGTGTTTTGGGTAATTAAAAGAAAACTGGTGTAAAGGAACTTAAAGATTTCAGACTTATCAGTTTGATAGGCAGTTTCTACAAGATTCTCTCAAAAAAATTGGCGGATAGATAGCTCCTCTCAAATGGCTTTTCTTAGGAAAGCCGGGAATCCATTGTAAGTTAGACATCCAACAAGCTTTCGATTATGTCAATTGGGTTTTTTTTGCTGCAATTATTAAGGCATATGGGCTTCAGCGGCAAATGGATTAATTGGATCAGATTTTGTATTTCCTCAGTAAAATTCTCTATTCTCATTAATGGTAATCCTCAGGGTTTCTTTTCTTCGCAAAGAGGACTCCAACAAGGTGATCCTCTTTCTCCTTCTCTTTATACTTGTCATGGAGGGCCTTAGCAAGATGTTATACAGTGCAATATATGCAAATTGGATCTCTGGTTTTCATACGGACAGTAGAGGAACTGGGAATCTCAAAATCACTCACATTTTATATGAAGGCGATACACTCTGATCATGTGTGATGCAGAGGAACACCATGTTTTGATTTTTAGGATGGTTCTAACTTTTTTTTGAAGTTGTCTCGGGGTTACACATCAACTTCACGAAAAGTTCTCTTCCCAGTTAATGATATGCCATATATCAGTCAACTTGCCAACGTTTTGCAGTGCAACATTGGAGCTCTTCCTACAAAATATATGGGCTTACCTTTGGGAGACAAGTATAAATCAGTGACAATACGGAATGAGGTGATTGAGAAGACGAAGAAGTTGGTTATTTGGAAGAAGCAATATCTTTCTTTGGGGGGCAGAGTCACTTTAATCAACAGTGTGCTCAGCGAACTTCCTACTTACACCATGTCTCCTTTCCCGCCTCCTTCCTCGGTTTTGAAAAGATTGGATAAATTAAGACAAAACTTCCTTTCGCAAGGAAATAAACAATCTAATGCTTTATGCCTTTTGAATTGGAAATCAGTCACTCGAGTTAGAAGGAAAGGCGGTCTTGGTATTAAGAACCTAAAACGTCACAATGAAAGCATGTTGATGAAATGGCACTGGAGATTCAACGAGGTAGATGCACTATGGAGGAGAGTGTTGGTGGAAAAATTCACACTTGAGAGCCCCTGGAGTACAAAAATCTCTACAGCCTCTCATGGTACCAGAGTATGGAAAAATATAAGAGGCTATTAGAACAAATTCAAGTCAAATATAAGCTTTTGGTGATGGGAGGAAAATCAGATTTTCGGAAGATGTATGATTGGGTCACACCCCACTAAAACACCAATTCATGGACATTTTCAGCTTATCTTTTCAACAAAAGGGAAAAATTGTAGTATTCGTTTCAACACAAGGGTGGAATCTTTTACCTAAAAGAATTTTAATGATTGAGAAGTGAAATGACTGTATTATGCTTCAGAGGATAAACAACATAACCTTGGAGCACAACAAAACAGACTCCGTAGGTTGGAAAAGTGATCAACAAGGTCTCTTTTCAGTCAAATATCGTTACCACATGCTGGATTCTAGCAGCGACGAGGTATTATGTCCTTGGGAAAAGGTTTGGAGAAGCAAGGCCCCTTTGAAGATTTCTTGTTTCTCTTGGATTGTTGCTCGGGAGGCTTGTCTCACACAATCGAACCTCCAAAAGAAGGGGTTTCAACTGCGCAATAGATGTCCATTGCGTGAAGAGCATCCAGAAGAAGTTTTCCACCTCCTCTTGCATTGTAGGGTCACTAGGCCGTTGTGGAATATGTTTCTGGTAATTCTGGGCATGAGTTGGACCATGCCAAAATCAATTGTTGAGCTCTTGCAAGCTTGGAGCAGAGAGGGAATTAGCAAGAAATCTCTAAGAACTTGGAATACCAACCTCAAGCCATTTGGTGGACTATCTGGCTTGAAAGAAATGATAGAATTTTTGAAGGCACAAAGAGAAACATTCACAGCCTTAAACAGAGATGTATTTTTGTTAGCTTTTGGTGCAATCTGGTAATTGAACATGATGTATATGTAACGTTAGATACAATAGAGCGTTTGCACAACCTGTACTTATGCCTGATGCACTGGCTTAGTGCATAAATTTATAATATCTTTAATTACTTATCAAAAAAAATAATACAAGAAACAATTTATTAGGACTAGAAGTGTGAGAAACCCCATAGGAACAACAACAACAAACCCAGTAAATTCCCACAAGTGGGTCCGGAGAAGGCAAGATGTACGCAGCCCTAACCCTACCCTGGAAGGGTAGAGAGGTTTTTTAGGATAGACCCTCAAGCTAAAGAAAAGATGAAGAGAATTAATGGCAGCAAGTAGAACCACACTAATGAATTAGCTTAGCAAATTAAACAACACTAACTATTGCAAGATTGTCCAATTTGCAGTCAAAATCTTTCAGATCAATTTCAAACTGAACTTAAACAGAAACAAAACTAATAACAAAACATGTCTAATTTAGAAACATTAAAATGCATGCATAAACTTCATATAGCAAAAAGATCAAAACTTGAACCAAAGCAAAAGATTTAAAAAAAAATATACAAAACCACAAAGCATTAATTTGGAAACACACTAAGCTGAAACAGAGAATAAAAAGTCCAAAAAGTCAAGAACCAAAACCAAGAATTAACTGAGAAACCACATAGCAGAGACCAAGAATACAGTAACTTGCTTGATTATTTACATATTTAAAGAAAAGAGACCAAGTGTGCATATAGGTTTTTTAACAGCGTATGTCGGTGCAGTCTTAACTGCAATAAGCCCTCTTTGAGGGCTGACCTTTGCCTCAGCTGGACTATGTTCACTTCAAATAATCAAGAGATGCAACTACTTAGACTTTCATGATTAATACTTTGGGAAAAGGTACAAACATGAATTTTGTAAAGAGTGACTGGTCATCCTAGTTATTGCTTTGTAACACTAGTTAGCAGCACAATCATTATGATCATGTCTCTTCCCTCTTTTATCCGCGTGATTGTTTTTTATCTAGTGGTTTCACAATGTCAAAACTCCCACATCCTCAAGCCATATAATGATGATTATTATGAGAGCACAGCAACACAAATAGAGTTCCGTAGTAAGAATACATTTTCTCTGAACACCTTCGGCGCTTAAGCAGATAAATTCAAACTCAATGATTGTCATCAACAAGATGTAATTTACATGGAACATCATTATAAGCCAATTGCTGGATACAATGCTTGCCACTTGGCTTGCTTTCTCCCAACAAACCTAAAAGAGAAACTTTTCACTAAAGAACTAACCTTATACTTAGCAGGAAGAAAACGAAATTGCTGCTTCAGTGTACCAACAGTGGAATATTTAGATGCAGCTTCAATCTGAAACAAATTATAAACAAAGTTACGCAAAATACTCTTGACCACCTACAAATTATATGGTGAAAATTGGCATCGTTATATTTGTACCTTAACAGGATTTCTCAAACAAGCCCTCTGAAGTTTCTTTACCTGTAGTTTAGTGTACAGATATATTAAGAATCAGACTTCCCATGCAAAAAGTTTACTCCTCGAAGGTTTCATCAAGAGTGGCACAGCAGAAACTATTAGGCATAAAAATAAATTCCTTAAAGAGAAAAGCAGAACAGGAGCAAATTAACTTGCCATTCACAACAACCCCACCTACTCATTTTTCTTTCCCAGACAATTTCATGTAATAATCATATTGCTATTACGATACAGAGAATAAGTGCATCTACTGCCATATGATATTTGGAAAATAAAAAAGGAAAATTTTCATTCCTACCCAAGTACTCAGGAAAAATACCTATCCGCCATCAGAGAAGGGAATTTCTCTTAAGAACGGAACCTAGAAAGAGAAATTATTCACACACAGAATAGACCATTTATGATTAACAATGGATTCATATAAACCACGTGAAAGCTAACTTTGTTGGACATTGTAGCAGAAAATAGGTAAGTCCTTCGATCATGAGGGATCGCATGCAAAATCTTATCAAGGGCCTTTTCAAATTCCTCATCTAGCAGCCTGTCTGCCTCATCCAATACCTGTTGCATGTACAAGTTCATGACTCAGAATACGCATGCATGCCTATCCAACTAAAGTAATCTGTTGTGAAACACACATTTATATTTTCAAGAAACCTAGACTTGGTTACGAATGGAAATCAAGATATTAAAAGATGGAATTCTAAAACAGTCTGAATACCATTCGCATCGAACATAATGAACTGTATTTTATTTTTGGATACATATTGCTTCAAATTAATGAATTTCTTGCTTGGTCCAATTGTCCGCACCTAAGGCGATGTGCCAGTGTGTCTCATGCTGTAGTTGGGGGAAAAGCATTTAACTGTCAACCCACATGGAGATGAGCAAGTTTCAGAGGAACATATGTAGTCAAATGCTTTCTGCGGCTCAATATGTTGGAAAGTTAAAAAGTAAAGACGTCAATGCTGCAGGAAAAAATTGACAAGCAGCTTCACCTCTGACAAGAGATATACTGTATGCACGCTGTGGGAAATATGGACCAGACGGCATTCGAAATCATATCACTTGCCAAACATCAAAAGGCCTAGCCTTGAACATGCAGCAAATATCACTTTTAATGTCAACAGTGACATAATAACATATCATTCAACCAAATGTCGTGAATCAACATTGCACTTTTGGGTTTTCATCCAAAAGAAAACAAAAGGAGTACATAAACAGGCAGAATGAGAACATCTCTGGAACATTTTCAGCATAAGACTCAATGGACAAACTTACCAAGTACTTTATCGTACGAAGAGAAAACCCTTTAGTATTGGCAAGATGATCCAGTAGCCGACCAGGTGTTGCCACCTACATCAGACAGCATCCAAATGAGCACTCAAACAAATGTCAGAGATTAAGCATATTAAAAATCTGTAACAACATACAATAGCTTTAGCAAATCTAGTGTAACAAGTCATCCACATGGCTTACTAGATCTCTGACACAAAAATGTGGTACTAGATATCAGTACTTACAACAATGTGAGGCCGTTTCCCAAGGGCGATGCTCTGCTGTACTGGACCTATCCCACCAACCAGCTGTGAAACAATTACAAGCAATCATTTAACAAAACAACGTCTAGCTGAATGCCAATGTCAACCATCATATATGACTGTTTCAATTCTAACACGGTCTACCCTGTTCTACAGACACATCGCTACAAATACACATTGTCTAACAAGTGGTTATCAACCCTTTGGATTACATTTGAAGGTGAAAATGAGATGTTCATGCATGTAAATATGACTTAGTCAAGCTCACCACTGCGCATTTTACTCCAACACCGGATCCTAAAGCTTCAAATTGTTCAGCAATTTGAATCGCGAGCTCTCTGGAATACACAAAGAAAAACGTTGGAGATTAAATCACCAAAGAGCTACAAAATAAGACAAGTAATCAGACGAATAAGGGACCTCGTTGGAGAGAGAACGCAGGCATAAAAGGCATGCGGAGAATCTAATAGGGCCTGCAGTATAGGAATTGCAAAAGCTCCAGTCTTTCCAGAACCCGTTTGAGCCAGACCAATTAAGTCTTTGCCTAGAACAAAACCCAATCAAATAGTTTATAAGAATTAATACTTTCACCAAATAGAGGATGATATACAAAAGGTTCAAATAATAAAAAGGGATCAAAATACAAATAATGTTCTTTAGAAAGGTCTTCCAAACAAGCATACAAATTGGAATACTTTTGAGTGCTTCAAAGTCCAATGATAGATAAGAAAATGTATGATGCCAGCAATTTCGGAAATGAACTTTATGCCGCCAAAGGATCTCCCTCCCCTCCCCCCTCTCCAAATTTTCCACTTCAATGTATGTGGAATCACTGCAAAAAGCTCAACCCCCTACTAGATTATTAGCAGCACTCACTTCAATGTTTGCTTGACTGAATTTTGCATGGTCCACCAAACGTCCCTCAAATGCAACATTATATTCCATAACTTAGTGGAAAATTTGCATTGTACAAACATATGGTTTTCTGACCAGCTAGGAGTCATATAAGGACCTTACAGGAAACCCACATTACCTTTCCCCTAGCCATTCCAAATTTTCAAGTTTCTAAAGAATTTATAGTTCAAAAATATTCTATTCCATGACACTAGATTGTATCAAATACCATCACTTGAGGCAATTGCATAAAGCTGTTGTTATCTAGATTTGAATGTGCTCTGCCTACAGCACCATTGTATCCAGAAACTAATTCTCTATCCTTAATGACAGGTATTTCATCAGACCCCGGGGCGGGTTGCGAGTTCTTTTACCCTCCATTTCCTTTACCCAATTTTGGGCCTTTAGGCTAACACTGAAAGTCCAAATCTTCAAATACATATTGCAACATATTCTATAGAAAACACATTTACCTAGATTTGAATGTGCTCTGCCTACAGCACCATTGTATCCAGAAACTAATTCTCTATCCCTAATGACAGGTATTTCATCAGAACCCCCCCCCCCCC